ATTTGTGATTTTTTCAATATGAAGTGGGGAGTGTGAGAGGGAAAATCAGCTTGTGGTAGCCTTTTCCTCGAAAAATGGTCTTTGGGGCTAAAATTCCTCCTGGGTGAGAGGGAAACTGCATTGCTGAATGCTGCAACCACACAGAAACACACACATACTGGTCTTACCCTAAACTATGGTTAGCACTAACCACAGTTTGAAGGTGGCTTGTTTTCTTAAACCATAGTGAAAACCATGGCTTCTGCTAGTTGGAAAACAAAACTGAAAGCTTCCAATGTGAAGACTGGAAGCTTTTACTTCTGTTTCCAACTAACTGTGGTTACTCATTAGAAACCGTAGCTTAGCATTAAGTCTAAACGTAACCAATTTGTTCCCATAGAAAAGGAGTGTAAGTCCTTTCACCTGAAGAGCTGTCTTTCTCTTTGAAGGAGCTGTCTTTCTCTCTTTCCACTGCCCACCCCCCACAACAGAGTAGTCAAACGTTTGAAACTCTCACATGGTATAATCCAGGAAACCTTTCACCACATACTGATGTTCACACGCAGGCCCTGAATTAGACGTGGCCACAGAAAAAGGTCTCATTCCTGGGAGAGTAAACAAAGGAGGGGCTGTGCCTTTGAACAGAAACACTGGAGTGCCACTTGAGTGAAAAAGACAGGTCAAGGAGTGGGGATAAAATAGACCTTGTTCTTTCCACCCTCTAGCTGGAGCCAGTACAGTAGGGATCTCTCTTCTGATGTATGGAATTGACTTAGATTTGCCATCCTTCCCCCAATCTCTGTCCAGCACATACACACATGCTTTATGAAATCTTAGGACTATTAGTGGTAGGCAGTGTCAGGAAGTAGGATGTCTAAGTGAATTAAAGACCCTCCTGGCTATAATGCTTCTTCCCGCTGCTTTTATCAGGTAGTGGAAATAAAAGAATAAAGAGTTAGCTCCCCAGGGAAGCTCAGGCTTTCACTCGATGCCTGCAGCTTCCATCACTAGCACAGAACACAAACAAACTTCTCCCCCAGCTGGCTCAAAGACCTTTGCACTCAGAAATCGGACTTCCAATAACTTTCACTACTGCTTTGAAGCAACAACAACAAAATATTTGAAATAAAAACGCTAAAGTGTCCTAAGACCCTTTAAGATATGAAGTGACAAATAATTAATCAACAGTTTAATAGCATTTGGAGTACAAATAACACACACTAAAATTTTTTTAAAAAAGAAAACTACCTTAGCTTGCTCATCAGCCTCGATTCATCCACCCTCCAAGGCAAAATCTGGTTTGTATGCCTTCGAACTAAAAGCACGGTTCACCCTTTTTTAATGTATTTATTCTGTTATTACTTTTATATCCCAGCTGTTCTCCAAGGTGGAGAACAACAACCCTGTGAGGTAGGTTGGATTGAAAGATGATGACTAGTCCAAGATCTCTCAATGAGCTTCATGGCTGAGGCTTTGAACCTTGGTCTCCCAAGTCCTAGTCCAACACTCTAGCCACTACATTGCACTGGGCAAACCATTGTTTTCTTTAGCCTAACTGTGGTTTGTTGTTGGCTTACAAATTGTGGCTTGTTTTAACTATTGCTTGGCAGTCTTTCCAAAGCCAACAGCCATGGTTTGTTCACCCCACACTCTCATCAAGCTACAAAAGCACTAGGCAAGAACAGCTGGAAAACAGCCCAGGTTTAGAGGAAACAAACCATGTTTTCTTTTTTCATCTGTGAGGTGATCTGTGGTTTGTTGAAAAACTATGGTTAAAACAACTGCGGCTTTGCATTAATGGCAGGGAGTCTTCGTATTTTTAAATGTGAATGCCGAATGGAATTAGATCCAGCTGTGCATTCCAGTACTGATTGTTCTGAAATATAGCTTGTTGGGTATTTTAGCATTACAGAAGAAGGTGTTTTGCATTCTAAGCAGAACCAAGTAGCGTCAGATCACAGCCTGTCTGTAGTTCCACTAAGGAGGCTGCGACTCTCACTGGCTGCCATAAATCTCTTCAGAGAAACCAAGAGGGCTGCCTCCCGCATGCTTTTGTTTTTCCTCCTCTCCACACTGCTCCTGTCCTTTGGGTGTTGTGTGCTTTTCAGAGCAAGACTGTCGGCCAGGCTTGTACAATAGGGAGCCCCTCTGGCCATACACAGCTCACCATCCAATTTTTGTGAGCTGCCTGGTGCCTGGGGCCACAAAAAATGGGAAGGAGAAGAGTGTCTGGTGTCATGCAGCCCTGTTGGAAACAAAGCCTTCCTTGTTTGATTGGTTCATTGGGCAAAGGGGCCTTCTTAATGACTGATTTTGTACATGACCTCTGTCAACCTTCTGTGCTGAGGGAGGATTTTTGCAATTATATCCATGTGTCAGACACTGCAGGGTCTCTGGCTGTTGGCAGAACCAGATCTTGGAAACAGTGGATAATTTTCAGGAACATAGGAAGCTGCCTCATTCAGTGTCAGACCTGTGGTCCATCTATCTCAGTATTGTCTGCACTGAGTGGCAGCAGCTCTCCAGGGTTTCAGACAGGGACCTTTCCCAACCCTCTTTGGAGATTCTGGGACCTTTGACCTTTGTGCAGAACAAATGCTCTGCCACTGAGCTGTGGCTCCTAGACAGTGCTTTATACCACTGGTCCATCTAGCTCAGCATTGCCTACACTTACTGGCAGCAGCTCTCCAAGGTTTCAGATGGAACATCCCCATTCCTAGCCCTATCTGGAGATGACAGGGATTGAACCCGAGACCTTCTGCATACAAAGCATGTGTTCTAGCATGCTGCACTATGGTCCTTGCCCAAAGCTGCACTTGGCTAGCTGACTAGTTGCCAAGGAGTGAGGAGTCCCAGACTGGAGAGGTGGTCTGCAGTGGAAAGGGCAAGGCAAAGGAGGAGGGAAGGGAAGCACTTTAGCAAGGGCAGTAACACACTCAGTGGCTCATCCAGCATCAGACCGAGACGTCAAAGCTGAACAGAGGTGTCATTGCCCCCTGCCTCTGCCATATCTCTGTCTTGGCTGATGCTTGGCATTGGCTGGAGCCTTAAGATGGCCAATGAGATCACCATCTCAACATAGCCACCTTTGACATTCTGTATTGAGCCTCCAAGTCATGCTGAACCACAGACAGGTGGGGGCAGGGGAAGCAGAGCCAGCGAGGATGGAGAAGAGAGTGGGGCACTGAGGGTTTCTGTCTTAGGATGGTTTACCAGAAATGAGTAGCCTGCTGCTGGCTGCCCAGTTGTTCCCACCTTGTTCCCTCCCTGGATAAACAAACAAGGGTGAAGCCTTCTCTTCCCTTTCTGCCTGAACCAAGGACTGCGGTTTGTTGCTTCCTAACAACTCATGCTCTGTAAGGGCTCAACAAACCATGGCTTAAAGCTGGTTAGAGATAGTGGCTTGTTAAGGAACAAGAAACCACAATCCCTGGTGGTTGGTTGTTTAAATTTATATACTGCCTTTCTGCTCAGGTACTTAAGGTGATTTTATTTTAAACTCGCTAAAACAAATACATAGTTTTGAACCCAAAGGTGACCCCTTGGTGGTGACCAACTGAAGCAGGTCCTGGTTTTATTTTCCCTACTTGCCCCCCTTGGTCTCTTCTCCCTTCCCACAAGGCTAATGGTCCTGTGCATGGGAGGGAACAGTAGGATTGGAAAAGACTCTGAAGTTGTCTTTGCCTGCCTCCCTCAAAGGATGGTTAGGATGCAATGGGAAGCCAAGATTAGTTGTGAATCTCCCACTTGCACCAAGGGAGGAGCAAAGCAGGAATGCACCCTGACTTATTATTACAAGCAAATGTGGTCCATGTATATGTCGAGCCTTCGAGTCTAGATACACAGGCACCATATTTTTGTCTATTTTTATCAATCGGCCTTTAGACTCACCATTCATTTCTTCCCTGCCCTGCATGTGGTGCAGGACTGAGCTTACTGATTGGAGCCATCTCAGTGGTGTTGCTGAGCTGTTCCTTGTGGGAAGAGACTTCTAGCAAATGGGCTTCTACCGGGTGTAGTGATGATGGTCATCAGCTTGGATGGCTTTTATGTATTGCAGATTTATTTCATTTGCAGATTTATAAACAGCTCCACAACTGAAAGCTACCAAAGGGATGTGCAAGAAGATAACACTCAAAAGATTACAGGCTCAGTAAAGTTGAAGCAATAAAATTTACAGATTTTTTTTTAAAAAAGGATTAGACTAGACAAATCCAAAGAAACTCCAAAGAAACACCAGCATCAAAAAGCATCTCTCTGCTTTCCAACCATCCTGCCATCAGCTCATGCTGGGGAGAGTTGAGTCATGCTAAACCTTCAGAGAAGGATAACACAAACTCATGGAGAATGGGGCTATCAGTGACTATTAGTCACAAGGTCTCTGTTCTATCTCCACTGTTAGAGGCAACAGGCCTCTGAATAGTGGTTTCTGGGGACCACAAGTCCAGCTTGCAGGCTTTCCAGAGGCATCTAGTAGATCCCTGTGGAATGCTGGGCGAGATGGGCCTTTGACTTGATCCACCAGGGCTCTTCTTATGCTCTTAGCTGGTAGGTGGCTCCTTGGGCCCAGACTCTCAAGGCCGTGTCCACCGACCCCACCATCTGCTTATGCTTCCAGTCCACAGCTGCTGCTCCCTCTTTACTCTTGATCCAGAACCCCTTCCACCATGGAAGACTGGGTGGGTGGGATTTGTTAGCTGATTTATTTCCACAAATCCTAGTGATCCCGACCAGAGGTGACCTGCATGGTGGGTAGGCTGGCCAGTTATCAATTGGAGTTGGCCCTGTGAGCTGCCGTGGGATGGAGAGTCTTATACTAATACTGAAGGTTAAGCTAGAAGAGAGTTTAATGTATGGGGCAAATGTGGGTTGGAAGATCCTGCCTTAGAGGAGGTGGATGAGAAGCTGACAAGGACTGGTTGGGTGCCAAAAAAGAGACAGAGGGACATCTTCATGGGGCATTTCCTTGTGCAACCTCATCATGCACTAATTGAGCTTTTCCCTGTGCTTTTCTCTAATAGTGGAAGGCCAGTGGCTGGACTGGGGATCCTGGAGCCGCTGCTCGGTGTCGTGTTCCAACGGGACTCAGCAGCGCACCCGCAAATGCAGCGTCTCAGCTCACGGCTGGGCAGAGTGCCGAGGGGCTCATGCCGATGCCAGGGAGTGTTACAACCCCGAATGTCCAGGTAGGGAACCCACAAGTCTCCATACGCAGGTGGCAAGCAGACAGGGGAAGGTTGGAGTTGTAGCTCCAGAGGGACTGCAGAGCCAGTCGCCACATCTAAGTGAGAATTCCCAGCATGCTAGTGATGGACATGCCTAGCTTGAGTGTGGGCATGGCTTGTGGGCACAGCTTGGGTCTTTTGCAGCCAGTTCCCAGGAAAGTAGGCAGGTCAAGCTACCACAGGTAACTCTTCCAAAGACTTCTAGAAAGTCATTTCCCTAGGAAGCTACAGAGTGAGAAAAGTGGAGGCCTCTGGTGCTTGTATATCGCCTAAGAGTGTGTGCACTAAGGCCTTGGCGTTCCCTCCAGGTAGGAACAGGAATCTGTGTGTGCAAAGTCAGCACCTGCAATTGGTAATTCTCTAGAGTGGCTGAGCCTGGTCTCCTCCTTTGTCTGGTCAGCAGAGCCCCTGCCTGCTGCACCATAGGCTATAGCTGCTTTAGCCTCAAACATTTTCATTACAATTCACCACCCTGCGTACAGTTTCTTCTGACAGTTAGTGGTTTTATCAGTGCAGCAAATAAGGAACAATTATCTCTAAATAACTCAAGCCCAAGCCTCCAGCTCTGATCATCACAGACCTCCAGGGACCACAGTCTGAAGCACAAATTGTCCGAGTCTCATTTCGGGTTCTGCTGCCCATAGTCAGGGGATAGGGGAATATTTATTCTTTCTTTTTAAAAAAGGAAAACCACCCTGTGATCATTATGTGCACGTCAACTTAGCTCTCAGGTTGGCTTTCCATCAAATGAAAATCTTTAAAACAATCACGAAGCAATTTATAAAACAAAATAACAGCAATATAGTTAAAACAACCAGGCTAAAACAGCAGGGGGCAGGGGAACCACAGCCAATCCAGCAAAACCGAGCTAACATTTACATGCTGTGCCAGGGGCGAAGAGAACAAGATTTCCAGGAAGGCGTCAGAGGTGGCGTAGATGAGCTTTGCTGCGGGGAGCATCCCACAACTGGAAAGGCCTCTCTTTAGTTACCAGCTTCCTCATTTCAGAAGTCAGGGACACCTGGTGAAAGGCCTCTGACGATGGCCAAGGACAAACAGGAAGAGAAAAGAGGGTGCTTCTCGGTCTGCGCCCTTCCCTTGAGCAAGAGGTACAGCTCTCTGGCTTTAGAGTCCTGTCTTGCTACTGTGATGCAGACCTTGGGATTGCTCCCACCCAGCTCCTCGCCTGACTTCCACAAGCTCAAGCTTGGCAGGGCAGGCCTTTGACGTCAGCCCTGTGCTCTGCCAATCTGTCTGGAGCGACAGCTGCTCTCCATAAAGCCGCTGCTCCTAATACGGCGGGTTCGGAGATGCCAGTCATCCAGCGGCAGTGACAGATGGCCTCCGGCTTCTGCCTCCTCTTCCCCCTCTGGCATCAATTTTCATTTGCCAGTTTTTATTGAGGAGTGACAGCCAGTGATGGAGACCTGAAATCAACAAGTGGCTGCGTCCAGGACTGGTTGTAGGGTCATGAGATCTCTGAAGCCAGCCTATGCCAAGCTGGTGCCCTCCAGATGTTTTAGAGTACAACTGCCATCAGCCGCAGCTAGTGGCGGAGGAGAAATTCTATAAAACTCACATTTAAAGGTAAATCTATCAAACTCACTCTTTCCAAAACAATATGAGAACCAAAACACCATCGTCCATCAAATTCACACCTTTCCTAATTTTGCGATGCAGTTCCCCAACCAAGCAGTGTTTACAAAAAATACATATATTAGGGGGAAGTGTGCCTAAAAAGAAATATATTAGTGAAAATAACATACAAAAATACATTATATTATTATAAATTGCTTGCAAAAATGTGTACGTTAGTCAAAACTGCATACCACATGAGCTTATTGGGAGAAATTCGTACAAAAACACTGAAGAATTTTCATGAGGATTTAAAACAAAATTTGCAAACTGCTGCTGAAATGAAGAGAATTGAATTTAAGATAAGAAAAATGAGAAACTTAGTCAACCAATATTGACTGATCCTTCCATTCCTAGCCAACAGGACTGGGGCTTCTTCTTTTTGCAGGTGACCAAAGCAATTTCTGTTCTTCTTCATTGGTTTTTAAATTTGCAAACCCGCTTCAGACTCTGGGATGTTCATAGTTTGCAGTAGTTCACATAGTAAATATGACAGAAGCGAGACTTGAACTCTGACCTCCCTAATCTAATTCTGACTTGCTATGAGATTGATCCTGTGGCCGATCTACTGCAATTTTCATTGCAGTTCAAGAAATGGGTTGGCTAGCACACACTGCTGGTTGTTGTGACAATAAAATGGTGGCTGGACGGAACCATTCACACTGCCTTGACCTCCTTGGGGGAAAAGTGGGCTTTGAAATGAAGAAGTATGAGAAGCTCTCTGCATAACGGTTGTGCTATGCCGTTGAATTTCAACATTGCCTTTCCTGCTCATACTGGCTCAGCTTTTAAGCAAAAAAGGTTTCACTGGACAAAAAGCCTCTTGATCTTTAAATGCTGCATAAGAGCATCTCAGATGGACAGGCGGACCAAAAAGAGTAAAACAGTATCATGGGTGCTGCTATCTATACATTGCTTCTTTGTGACCTTGAGCCCTGGCTGTATCTATTGGGGACAGTTTCTCATGCTGACCTTCAAAGATGGCCCCAAAGAGGATCTCAGTATGCAGAAAGACAGGAACCCAGTTGAGGTGGGTGGTTTGGTTGGCTCATGGAGGATTTGCCAGTGGGCTGGGTCGGAAGCAAAACTTTTGCCCAGCCCAGATAGGCTCAAGCATAGCTTTAAATACAGAGAATCAGGGACTGACAGCACGTTCCAGTGGTAAAAGCCTTATTCTGCCTACTGCAGGCATGAGCGTGGGGTGGGTTTGCCAAGTTCAAGTGTTCTTCCATTTTAAAAAATGAAACAAAACTCATTGAACATACAGAACATGATGTGCTATCAGGCTGTGTGCTAAGAGTTTGTCTCTCCATTGGGGAGGGGGGCCCACACCTGAATCCTGAAATGCCTAGGAAAAGGGCAATAGCACTGACAAAGGAGATGGGATTTAAACACAGAAGGAAAGACAAGCTGGTGCTGTGTAGAGGAGGCTGGAGCAATCGTTCCCCAACTGTGCCAGACAAGAGCTGTTATTGTGTCCCTGATAAATGCATTTGTGGGGCTCAACAGTGTCCCCCCGTGCCTTCTATGCTACCTTCATAAAGGTCTCAGCAAATACCCTCTCAAAAATTCACAATGAACCAGAGACTGTTTGCTTTTCCTGCTGTTTGCACTGGCTCAGCCTCTCCTCCACTGAACATGTCCACATTGCACTGGATGTCCATCCTTCCATTCTGAGCAGATGAGAGGTGCAAAGAGCTTCTCTCCATGAGCAAACATGGATGTTAGAGCCTCTCCCTCCATTAATGGGGTGGCCACTGAGGGGCATGTTTGCATACCACCCTGTGGTCTTCTCCAGGGTTTATTCTAAGCTCCCCCCACCCCACTGCATAAGCAGGCAGAACACTTCCCACTCACAAACTTTCTGTACCTGAAAGAAATAACATGAAAGAGGAAAGAGAACATAAGAATCTACAGAGAAAGAGACAAGAAGAATAAATAACAGAGAACGGAGGACAAACAGGAAATTTGGAGAAATGAAAAAGATAGTGAGGGAGCAAGAAAACAGAGGTGCCTTGAAAAGAATCCCCTCCTTCAGTTATTTTGAGGAAGATATTATCTCCCTTCCTTAACCTGTATTGATTCCCTTTTCCCACAAAGCATAACTGAAGCTGTGCTCTCACCAGAAATGACTTGAATTTGCCTCCTATTACAAAACAGCTGTAAAATATGATGGAGATTCTGTACTGAGGGGTAATGGAGCACCTTCACAAAATGGCTGCTCAAAAACAGAAAAGTTGTTACCTCTAACCTGTGTATTATTTACAACACTGTCTGGAATAAGGCCCAGGACACATACCTATTAATATCAATGTATCTGTCTGTCCTTGAGTCTGTCTGGGGCTTCAGTTTGCCTTGTGCTTCTTGCCCTACCTATTCCATCCTGTAAAGCCTTGCAGTCTGTGGGGCCTGGCAGAGGAAGGGAGAGAGGTCTTCTTGTGTCAGTCTGGGAGTCTCTAAGGTGAAATGAACTTTCCAGAAGTCTTTAGTATTAGAGATGAGTCATCTTCAAGGATTAGTTTTCCATGGCAGGTGAAGAACGAAATACTGTCCAGCAGAAACAAAGCTCCAGGAATCTTAGGAACTGTTGTGTGACCCATAGGACAGGGCCTGTCCTCTATTGCATCTACTGTTATGATCAGCAATAGAAAATGGAGGGGTTAGAGAAAGAAGAACAAGGAGCCTCCACAAAGAGCTGAAAGGACATTCTTTAGCTCTGATTTCTGTATTGAAGGAGGGTGGACTAAATGACCCTTTGAGTTCCTTCCAACCCTACAAGTCTGATTATGTGAGACTGGCAGGACTTGCCAAGCTCCCTGTTGAAATATAGAGAACTAGCTGTGCTACCAGGTTTAAGTTCTGCTGAAAGACCGAGCAGCAAGGAGTCACGTCAAGGCCTGAGGAGAACTGCAGCAGATGGAGACAGTTTTGGGACCACAGTTTGCTGAACACTGATTTGCACCACTTTCCCCTAGAAAATAGTTTCTTGCTGGCTGAGACAAAACACATAGTTTGTGTCTGTAGGGATGTTTAGATAGAGACAAAGGAGGGAAATTGGTTATACTGCTTTCTTTTAACCCATGCATTCAATTCAGCCACCCCAGATGCTGATATTCTGTATATGCTTTCAACATAAAACTTCCTTTTGCCAAGACTGTTGTGGTAGCACTTTGTACAAGAATGAAGAAATATCCAACCAAGGCTGTTGGTGCAAAACCAGCTCCCATGCAGCACTTCCTGGTGGCACCCAACAATTCACCATCATCACCCACTACAGTGATTGTGCATCATACACCACCTACCAACCAGAAGCGGAGCTAGCTGCTCCAGCACCCAGAGCGCTGCACATGCTGTGCACTGGGGGGCAGGGCGAGCATCTGGTGGGCACCTCCCACTGCGAGCATCCTGGGGGGCAGGGGGCAATATCACCCCACCTCAGGGATGACACCTGGGGTGTGCTGCACCCATTGCACCCCCTTCCTCCACCAGTGCCACCAACACAAATTTTGTAGCTATGTTTAAGGGTGTGTTGTTTTCTTCCCCAGAGCAAAACTACTCACATCCTCCAGTCCCAGACAATTTGGCCATCTTGAATCAAAATAAATTTTAACATAGAATCATACTGAGTATAATGTGAAAGGGGGCCCAATGACACAACTGTGTGATCTTTTGTTCTGTGTTTGTTTTGTGGTGATATATAATGATTTTATATCTATATATATTGTTTAAGTAAAGTTCAGTATGGGTCAATAAATGTGTTTGACTAGTCAAGTAATTGGTCCCATAATACACAATTGAGACAAGGTTATGAAGATTTGAAAGGAACCAGCATACATCTTCATTTTCTGTTTCTTTTTATCTTTTCTCATCTACCTTTTTAAGAATCTACCCAACTCCTTGTTAAATCCCATATACTCAACTGTGCAAAAGCTTATTTCACCCTGAGCCCTTTTTTTGACATTGCAGAAAACGTGTCTAGCTGCTCATTAGGAAAAAAAAACTTTTGTCCTGTCTCCTTTTCTGCTCTTTGGACACGGCAGTCATTTTGAGTAATGCCAACGCTCCATGAGAGCTATTGTGTGATACTTTATCATGATACTTTAAATGCCCCCACTGGCTCAAAAAGGTTGGCAAACCCTGCAATAATGAGAAAAGGCTCCTCCATGCCCAAAGTATATACCCATAAATGAATCTGCCCACTGTGTCTCTGAAGGGTTTCCTGTGCCAGCCTAGCTTTCTTCCAATCTGCCTCTGTCATACGTGAGCAATCTACTGCACCTCTATATTAGGTAATATTGGATCATCCCTGATGCAGAGAGGCAATAGAATTACCCACCTGTGGAAGAGGCCTCCCACTGTTTCTCTGAGTGAGTCACTGGAAGAAGGCAAGGCCAGAGCAATCAGTCTCCAGTGGAGGCAGGAGATTCTGGGCCATTCAGTCAAGAGGCAATGATCTCTCAGAGGATGCATGCTTAGAACAAGGACTCACACAGAAACTAAGGTGTGGCTCCACTCCTCCAAGGATGGGCAATTCTTGCACAGCCTTTTTGGTGGTAGATGATGAAGTGTGCTTCCAGTTTTAATTCAAGGAAAGTGTGCCTCTGCTATCAACAGAAATTTGGGAAATTGGAGGCTTTTGTGCTGGCTTTGAATGTGGGAAACCTGGATCCAGATCTGGCCAGCTGGCTGCTCTTTGGTTTGAGGTGGGTTTCGGTTCTTGATGTGATGTTGTCTCTTACTGCATTTGGTAGCAAGGCACATTAAACCCTGCAACTCAAGCTGGTTGAAATCTGCAGGATTCAGAACCTTGAAAGAAACTTGCCTCCTGAGGAATGAAAATGAATCCTATTTGTTAAAGGGCACCCTTGCGGTCATGGCCTGGTTGGGAAGGGGAGAGGGGCATTTTAGCTTAAATGAGATCTGAATTATTGATAAATGCGTTTAATCATCTGTGGAATATTTGATTAAAGTAATTATCAGCCGGCACAGTTGCATCCCAATGATAAAGAAGGACTTCTTCTATCTCCTTGCCATTCTGTCAAGTCCTCCAGCTAATATGACTCTAAATTGGGAGGATGTGAGAGAGAGTGAGAGTGAGAGATGGTTTAGAAAGGTCTACTAATTCTTCCTTTCTGCTCCCCTGAACTGAAGCTGATAGCAAGTGGGGCCCATGGAACCACTGGAGTTTGTGCTCCAAGACGTGCGATACGGGCTGGCAGAGACGCTTCCGCATGTGCCAGGGGACGGGCGTGCAAGGCTACCCATGCGAGGGCAGTGGGGAGGAAGTCAAGACATGCAACGAGAAGAAATGTCCAGGTAACTGGCCTTGCTGCCTGATCGAGTCCTTCCCAGGTAGCGCTCTACCAGACATCCCAGTTTGTTCTGCAAAGTGACAAGAGGTCCTTGCCTTTTCTCTAACAAAAGGATTCATTCATTCATTCATTCATACTAAAATGACTCAGCCTCATTGTGTCATGTGAGCAGCCTATCCTTCTATTGGTCCTTCACTTTTTCTGCCCACCCACCGCCCCTAACAGGGTGTGCTGCCCATCTGCAATTTGTATCTTTGTATATCACCTCTCCATTTGGTTTGTGTTGCCCATCTCTCAGTTCCCTTTCCCCAACCCCTCCCCACAGCTCTATATTATCAGGTTACCAGACGTCCCCTGATTTACAAATCAGTCCCCTGACAAAATCCACCCATTCCGACTGAAGTTGAAAAGTGTCCCCAGATTCATTGAAAAAAAAATCTGGTAACCTTACTATATCAGGGTTTCTGGGAAGATGAATTAACCTAGTGAGCCACCTAGGACTGTGTGGGCCCAGGGTGCTAAGGAAGAGAAGCTAATAAAGAGACAAAACATTAATGTTTTGTGATTGACAGACATCATGAAGGCCCTAGATTTGCAGGATCTGATATGAATTCTAGGATCATGGTTTTTGGCTTCTATCTGGTCAATAGATCAAGTCACTGGGGTGAAACGTGCATAGAACTGCATATATAAGTGAAGAAACATCATGTTAGGCACAATTACATGGAAAAATGTGTATATGAGGAGAAATGAACACTAAAATGCTGATTAAAAAGGAGGTTATCTAACTCCAGGTTGTTTAACAATAGCAGCAAAGCTCACCTTCACCCTAAATTAGGTTGCTACAAAGAACAAAACTAGGAGTAGGGTTCTATGAGAGATAAAACTGTAAACTCAGTTCTGAAAATGCTGTTCCTGAATTCCTCCTAAGCTGTTCAGCTGATGCCCTCTTTTCAGTGGCTACTAGTCATGATGACTCCAAATACCCATCATGGCAGAACAATAGCAAGGCACTCATTTCCTTCTTGTGGACTTCCCAGAGTAGGGTGTGTTATTTTAGGAGGTGAAGGTTATTTTTTTGCAAATTTCTTCAGTGAGGGGATCATAAAAAATATGGTTTTGGGTGTGAGAAATCTGCTATTATTTTTGTTATTAAACAACATTTAAGTCTATGTTTGATTAAGAAAGACATAAACTGCTTTTGGAAAACCAAATAATTTTAATTTTGCCTTCTGAAAATGTCATATAATGCTAAATAACAACAATAACGATGATGATGGTTATGATAATAATAATAATGATAATAACAACTGCAAGTAATTGGTAATCATTTTAATGGTTTCTATTGTACACACATTTACTTACCAAGCAAAACTAAATTCTATTAATTTAACCAAAATATCTTTCAAATTCACAAGTCATGTTACAGTTTTTTAGCACCCCTCACTTCTGCAATTTGGAAGTTGGAAAATTCAACTTTCCCAGGGGGTATCTGGTTGCTAGACTAGATAGGCCTTTGGTCTGATCCAACAACATCAAGGCTCTTCTTGTGTTCCTCTCACAGCCTACCATGAAATGTGCAAAGATGAGTATGTGATGTTGATGACTTGGAAGAAAGCTGCTGCTGGTGAGATTGTCTACAACAAATGCCCGTCCAATGCTACAGGTAGGCAGCTGCATGGGTGGGGATACACTTTTTTAAGCAGAATGAAGCCTTGCGGATGATAGACAGCAAGATAAAAGGAGGTGACCTGCAGGTCTACCTGCCAACATGAGTTTCCTGCTTGAGAACTCAAGGCACTGTCACTTCATAAGGGATGTCTGCACTCCCTAAGCAGATTTCAGCTACATGGTTCTGCTCTGGTTTGTGTTGCAAGATGATTGGCTTCTTCAGTCCCAAAAGTAGAACTGTCCCAAGGGAGTTGCTAACCCCCCTGTGATATTCTTTACTGAATCCTTCACCAACCTAGTGCTCTCCAGATGTTTTGGACCACAACTCCCATGGGAGTTGTAGTACAATAGCATCCAGAGGACACCAAGTTGGCAAGGCTATCTTGGTACAATAACAATGAATAACTCTTGGCAACTCCCCAGTTCTTGGTCATTGCCCTGCATTTCATTCTTCACCCATGTTGATCTTAATATTAAAGAAATCAGATTGCACACACGTTTACCTCCTCATTAAAACCAAAACCTCTTTCCAGCTTCCTTTGCAAAATTTTCACAGAGCCTTGTATTTTGCAAGCCTCCAATGAATATGTCTTTTTGAATATTCCCTCTGCTCCCCTTGCAGATTTGTGGGCACTTGCAAATTTAACAGCGTTGAAAAAGGCACAGATCTGGCTGCATGCAATTTCTACATTATTGGGGTTTCTTAATAGAAATAAGCACTACTGTAGCACCCTGCTTGTGGTTAATGCTTAGCTGGAATGAAATATTCAACGCAGCAATAGAGAATTTAAAATAATTATTTATTTGTCAGACAAATAAATGAGAGGCACAGTGGTATATGGTTACCAAGCTCTGGCCTGGCCTCCTGCCATTATGGCCAGCACTTATATTCCCTTAATCCAGCCCCCTTTGCTCCTCCTTGGGCTGCCTCTGTCCAATCAGCCTGGTTGGATTTCCTATTGGCTGATTGCTAGAACCAATCACAAAAAGATACACCCATATCCTCCTGTCCTTATATGGAGGACAAAGAGCTATATATTGTTACATCTATAAATGACAAATAAGTAGTAATATATCTTACATGTGTCTCAACAAGGAATCTTAATTACCAGCTCACCTCTTGCCCTCCTTGCCCTATTGCCTTCTAAAACAAATGGTTAATCTTAAATTTTTATCTTAAACATATGTCAAGGATCTTGAGTTTCACATCAACATTGAAAGATCTACTTCATTTGAAGGTTTCTAAACAAATCTCTGACAGCTATATATCAAGACTGCCCGGATGGCGTCTTCTTGTCTGGCAAGAGGGCTGGGCTGGTGGCTGACTTAATTTCAAGATAAATACAACTCTTCTAGCATTTGTTAAATCCTTTGCATAATTACATTTAAGACAATACATAACATAGGTAGCCTTTTAAAAGGAATAAGGCCTTTGTAAAGTAGAAGTAGAAAAGGGAACTCAGTTTAAAACAGTTTCAGAAGAAACCTCTTTAGTTTACATCCCCCCCCTTCAGCCAGCTGCTTTGTTTCCATTAGCTCTTCCTCAAACTCTCTCAGTTTAAGAAAGAAAACAGCTTTAAAAAGACTTCCCAAAAAGCCTCTCTTTCTGCCAGCCAGATGCTTCTCCATTTGGTCTTGGCCTTTTAACCTTAGAAAGAAGATCTGGCTCATTTTACTGGGAGGCACATTGGCATTATTTTACTATTTACCAACTATTAATTATGTTTATCTCTGCCTTTTTTATCTTCTATAACATGTAGGGTCAGTGTCCTTACTCAGTCTGTAATTTCAGCTTTTATGACTTTGAGAATTGTTTTCTGCTATCAATCAAAGGGGCCCCTTGTCTAAGGAAGAAAACACTGTCAGTGTTTTCTTAAGCAGCTAGCCTTCTTGCCTGGCATGAAACGTTTGAAAATCTTTAGGCCCTCTCTAATATACAAGTCCTGATCAAACATTAATAAAATGCAGGCTTATGCCTGATGCCTCATTCCCCCCTTTCAAGCTCAAGGACCTTCGTCCCAAGTGTCCTTGATAGCTTGACCTTCATCATATTCCTGAGGTAAAGCTCTGTATAGGGCCATGATATGAGGTAGAGTTTCATTTGAAACCATCTTGCTAATTGTACTTCTAAAACATGAAATGATACATGGCATCATACATAAAACCATTACCACTACTGTCAAGAAAAACAAGCAAGACAATAGTATCCCTTTGAGTCCTGTGACATTAGGTAACCAATTGGTGAGCCATCCCATATCCCATCCTTCCCATGTTTGTACTGGGACATGTGCTATATTCTCCATCTTTGTGGCCAACACACGGATTGCCTCACCATTATCTGAAATGTTAAAGCAACAGGCATTCCCTGTCAAGTTCAAGACTCCACATAGGCCTCCCTGCTTGGCAAGTACATAATCCATTCCCATTTTCAGCTGCAAAATGGCGGCTCTACTTTCATCCAATTGTTGTGCAATAAGTCTCAAACTCCGGGCCGTTGCATTGGTTACAAGTTCCACTACTGCTTGCAATCGAATTATTCTGTTTAGATTATAAATAGGATCCCGTGCCCCTTGTATGAGCTCACCAGGATTCCAGGAGGCAGGATCATAATAGGCTATAATGCGCTCTGGTGGCCAATCATCAGTACCGCTCCAACTTTGGGTACTTCCTCCTGCTATATGAGAAATATCAGCGTTTCTTCGTGTACGCTTGGCCAAATTAGTGGGCATAATCCACATTGGTGGCAATACCCATCCCAGGAAACAAGTCCCACTCCATTTGGAGGGGAGTTTCTTGTATGCCCATTCTCCACATATCCACCACAACCATCGTGTCTGAGGTCTTTGGTACGTGGAGTACAGAAGGCGAAATAGCAAAAGAGGTAGAGAGTTCACAGTGCAGTATGTTAGATTGCCTTTTTCTGTCACAGTTATGTTCCATACCACTTTCCATGCATGAATAAAAGGAGGTGCACAGGGCAAGGCATCCCGAGTTCGATAGGTAGTATCGTGTGCCCAGGTATTCTTAATATTATCCCAAGTATAGTGACAATGAGAAGAGCCTATCATGGTAGAATCAGCTGCATCTGATGATTTATGTACACAGAATTCCCCTTGTACAGGTATAACTCGTAATGGTTTAGTTGAGTTCCATCCGGGGAAATTCTGTACTTCTGTCTGGTGTGGTATTTCGCTTACCATACCAATGGCATCTAATGGTATCGGTAATAAGGGCATACCTCCCTCTGAATCATCTGGCCCAAGAGAGCAAACAAGGCAATTGGTCCTATTTGCAACATTGGCTACCATTTCAGCTAAACCTACCCACATATTGTGGTCATGGCGGAATCCATATTTAGTCAATTTGGCCAGATTCAAGGACCCTTCCCCTTCCCAAGGGATCAGGATTAATAATAGAATCATGTTGATGTCTAGCATATGCATTCCTTCCACAAAAGATTACCTTATTGTGATAGCAAATAAATATTAGTCCCAATATAATTCCCCCAGTGACAGAAATGGGGAACCACCAAGACCAAAACATATATCCCGAGGATCCCCAATGAGTAATATCTCTGATAATTGTTCCACAAGGGGGTGGGCAGTCAATTAATTGTATAAGAGAATCTTTCCTTTCACAATCGCTGGTTCAGATGCTCCTCAAGCTTCAGGCGTGCGCAGGTCAGCCAGCTTCCAGGTTGTGGCTGCAGCAGGCCGGTCGTCTAATGTTGCCCGTGACCTAGCCCGTTCCCGGTAGGGCTAGATACAGGGGTTTTTGGAGAGAGTCAGTTTTAAAGGATTAGAGGGGTCACCTTTGCACGTCCAACTGCCTTCAGACTTCTTCAAACGAGAGTGATGAATCCAGGGGGTCACCTCAGCTACCTTCACCGCTGTTGGAGTAGAGAGCAAGACGGTGTAAGGTCCACGCCACTTAGGTGCAAGTGGATCACGTTTCCACTCTTTCACCCATACGCTATCGCCAGCCTGGAACTGATGAATCGGCTCGGCAATGCTGCACGGCGTGCGCTCGAGGACCCACCTGTTAAGAGAAACAAAAACACGGGAGAGAGATTGCACTTGTCCCTGTGTCACATGGTCTCCTATTTGTTTAAGATCAGCTGGAAATATCCTGAACAAAGGAGGGCGGTCTCCCATACAGGAGCTCAAAAGGTGACAACTTAAGTCTTTTTGTGGGTGCACACCGAACACGAAACAGTGTTATGGGTAACACATCTACCCATCCCAATCCCGTTTCCTGGGTTAATTTTGCCAATTGGGTTTTCAGAGTCCGATTCATTCTTTCAGTTTTCCCTGAACTCTGAGGCCTATAGGCTGCATGCAGTCTCCATTTCACTTGTAGGACTCGACATACTTCTTGTACTACTTGATCAATGAACGCTGGCCCATTGTCACTTCCAATGCATCTAGGTAATCCAAACCTCGGGATCAATTCAGTGAGGAGTCTCTTAGTTACCTCTCGTGCCTTTTCAGTTCGGGTGGGAAAAGCTTCAACCCATCCGGTAAGAGTATCTACAAACACAAGGAGATACTTGAATCCCTTAGAAGGGACCAGCTCTGTGAAGTCCACAATTAGGCTTTCCATGGGGACATATCCCACATGTTGGATTCCAGGAGGTTGTACCGGTCCCTGCCTGGGATTGTTTTTAGCACAAAGAACACATTTCTGTGAAATGCAAGTTGCTAATTGTGATAGGTTAATAATATACAACTTCCGACTGAGACTCTCTCTGGTTGCAGTACCGCCAAGGTGAGTAGATTCATGATAATTTCTTACAATTGTGCCTGCTAGATGATGAGGTACATAAATCCTATTGTCCGGCAGGATCATCCAACCGTCCTTCACAACTGCTCCTTCCTGTTCAGCCCACTTCCTCTCTTCTGGGGTATAGTGAGGTTTAACTTCTTCTGGAACTACCTCTGGTATGAGGGCTGCTATAAATCCTCCCACAGGCTTTTGGGCTGCCTCTCGGGCTGC